GCCATGGTGCTCGGCGCATCCCCTATGGCTTCTACTGCGGCCCACAACCCCTCATCACCTGGATCCCCCTCATCATGCGCCCCACCACCAGGCGAGGTCGGGCCAGTGACTGGCGGCTCCTCCATGGCAGGGCGGCCGGTTCCGCAACCACTGGCTACTCAGTGGGGGCAATTGGATCTGCTCCCCCTTGTTCCTGCTAGACATGGGGAGTTTTTGGTTCTGCTGCACGCTCCACACCATGAGCAGCAGCAGCCTATAGGTCCTCGCTTGATTCCGCACTTTGGCCCACAAACAACTCGTTAGCAATCAGCAAACAACGCTAAAAAAGAATTACGCACAAAGAGGGAAACTTACAATTGGGCTCCCACCATGCAGTCCTAAACCGACATGTCCTTCCCGAGCCCTCCTAACCTATGGCAAGGCTGCTTGGCACATTTGTCATCTTCAGGCTTCCCATCTCTACCGCTGCCGGCCACGGCATTCGGGTAGGCTTAGGGGTCATGGTCGGAATCTCTCGCGTCGTCTCGGGGACTCACCTACCGGCCTAAGTTGCATCCGTCGTGGTCCTCCGAGCACTCTCGAGGACTACTGTTGCTGCCTCCCAAGCTCGCCGCCTCTCCCGCGTCTTTGTCCTGGCTAGAGCTATCGATGGAGGTCTCACCGTGCTTAGAGGTGACGGAGCCACTAGCTCATCTTCAGAAGAAGTGTCCGACAGAACTATCTGTCGCCTCCAAGGCTGATTTGAGGCCTCGATGTTTACCATGCCCTCCTCACCTCGAGAGGGCCTAGCTGTTTTTCTCTTCTTCACAGATGGCTCCTCGTCAGCCGGTCGCTTCCCGCGAAGCTTTTTACGGACATACTCTGTCCGTGTGTCACTACCTCTAGCTTCTTGGCTCTCTGAGCCCTCCTCGTCTGCATCAGTGCTTGGATGATGCTGGGGATTGCTTGGTCGAGCATCCACCGCCCTTGGCTGCTCCTCTAATGGGATTATAGAAAAGTAACCCGCCTAGTCCTGTCCATGAATCTTCAACAACACAAACGAATACATTGCAAAGTGAGGACAATCGAGCAAAACACCACAGAAAAGCCTCTCATCACCGGGGGGAGATTTCCGACATTGAAGGCCCATTGCTGGTCTCTGATGGACACCCAACCCATGAGATTGAACAACATCTCTATCCACTGCATGACTTCATCTCGGGCAATTTCCTCGGGCACCTCGTGGGTCCCATCAGTATCTCTCCGGTACCCAAATGCCGGGTGCGCCCTCTCCTTGCAAGGCTAGATCCGGTGGAACATGAAGTTCGTCGCCACAACGACTTCGTCAAACCTTCTACGATCTATCAACCACAGGAGCTCCCTTACTTGCTCCATTCTGTTTAGGCTGATCCTCTCCGACCACCTCGTGTTCACCACTAGAACCTGATCAAGGTCGCACTAGACATATGGTTCTACCTGCTTGATGTAGAACCATTTGCAGGCCCACTACTTCACATTCATGTTAAGCGGGACGACGATGTACTGACTTACCATCCTGTACCGCAGCTGCAGATAAGCACTGCCAACTACCTTAGATCTAGCTCCCCCCGCATCTTGAGACAGAAGAAATGGCGAAATAGATCGAAGTGGGGCAAGATCCCCAGATATGCCTTACAAAGATTAATGAAAACAACAACATGAAGGATGGAATTCGGACTAAGGTTGCAGAGACTGATGCCATAGTGGTCAATTAGCCCGCGGAGAAAAGGATGAATTGGGACGTCGAATCCGCGGATGAAGTAATCTTAAAAAACAAGTTCATTGGAATGGGGCATGGGGAAATTCTCACCAATCGCCGGGCGCCATCCCGCTGTCACCCTATCCGGTAGAATCCTGAGCACCACCAAGTTGTTGAGTGCCCTCTCATCACTAATGGACTACACCCATGCCTTGGCGTGATTGACCTCGCACAACGCCCGCCTCAAGCCGTTGCAATTCCTCTTCGGCGCCATCAAGCAGATCTAGAGACAGTGGTTGCTTGCTGCCTGGATCTATTCTAGCGGTGGAGCGGTTGCAGACGGGAAGGTGTACATGCACAAGAGTGCGAGGAAGACGATGTGGTGTGTGGAAAATGGTGAGTGCGCCTCGAAGCCGCGATGGACTTATAACGGAACGACCCTTGACCCTCCGCTTTCCAGGGTTTTTGGGAAAACACGCCTGCCACGCTGTGTTCCCCCTGAATTCTCCGCGCGTCATTGGGCCGTTAACTGGGCTTACCGTATTCGTACGCGAAGCTGCGTTTCGCGCAGGCCGCAAAGACAAAACGTGTGTCAAGCGGTATTTCGAAGGAATTTTTGGATTTTCATGGCAAGATATTTTTTCTGACCCTGCTACAAGATATATTCGTAATCTTCCAGCAGGTTCGGGGACTACGTGTATACACGTCATCTAGCGATGACTGTATTGTTTTTCTCAGCTAAGCTGGGAATGGGTTCAGCACCTGAAGATTACTACGTTGGACCCTGGCACCACAAGACTACTTCACCTATTGCCAGGCTCGGGGGCTAAGTGGACACACTTCACCTTACGATGAATGTGCTTATTTCTTTGACTTAGATTTCTTCAAAACGGCAAGTTCCTCCGCGGTAACTAAGTCAAGGACGCCACACGACTAACTTCGATGCTCGGAACCCAAGTGGGCACACTTCGTCCAAGTTGGAGATTTCAAAAAAAATTAACTTGAACTCCTTACATCCTTCTAACAAACCTCAGTTTCGCATAAGTCTGAGCTCGGCTCCCAGTTGAACAGCTTCGAACATTGATTCTAACAGCTCGGATGATCGCTCCAACAGGCGCCTAACTAATTGCTCGGACATATTTTTCAACAGCTCGGCTCCCTGTCAAAGAGGTCGGAAGTCTTTTCCTGACAATTAGCGGCGTGTTGATCAGCTCGGACAAGCTCTGGACGGTGTTGCTCAGATGATGCAAGGTGCTCGGGGACTAGCTATAGGGATATAACCCCCGATACTCATAGGGCTGTACATGGTCCGAGCCACCAGGGAAGGCCCAGCCCACTAGGCTGTGCATGGGTCGCGCTACTAGTGGAGGCCTAGCTTACAAGACGCTGCCGCATGAGGCACGACATAGGTCGGCGTGCCTCGCAAGACTGCATGAGGATCCTCGGTGATCTTGGGAACCCGCTCGGATATGCTAGATCTTTTTTTTCGACTTGAATATGCTAGATCCCGTAATATCTATAACTTTCTATCTTGTAAACAGATTAGGATAGAAACAACCGATCTGTAACCCTACCTCTCGGGCTATATAAGACGGGTAGGGACCCCCTCATTTTTTATCTGATCATACACAATACAATCCACAAAGACACATGACGTAGAGTATTACGTCAAGCTAACGGCCTAAACCTGTCTAATCGTTGTCTCTTGTGTTCTGTGTCACCATCCGATTTTCTCATGTGCACCTCCACCGATTTATCTACTATCGTGGGCATACCCCTCGATAGACCGTCGACCAGATTTCATCGACACCTCAGTCAAGATTAGTTCTGCCTGACCAACATTATTAAGAAATGGCACCTTTCTCCCACCTTTGATTGCTTCTTCTATCATTTGTTGCTCTAATCTGCCCCCCTGAGATAATTCTATAATTTGTTGCCACACACAGAGGAAATGCCATACTCGATCACACATAAACGCTGTATTGAAAAAGGTCTCCTGCGTACCATACCATAAAAGGGGAGATAGGTTTTAACGAGACAATTAGTTTTAGTTTGCTGGGCCTCTGCATTCTGATGGGATTTTAAAAAAGGCAGCATTCCGGCCCATTCCAGGCCCAGGCAAAAATTCTAGGGACTGTTCAGAGACACTGACTTCACGCCCTGCCTCTTCTCCTCCCAAACATTGACCCCGCGTGCGCGCGCGCTCTCTCTCTCTCGCTCTCGCGGCGGCAACTGACTCACCGCCGCCGCCCGCCGCCCTACTCTAGGTACGCAGGTCTTCGTCGGTCCCCTCGCTAGGCCTTCGCCGGCCCCTTCACCGGCGACGGGCACCCAACAGGTATGTGCACCCCGTCTCGCCCCTTCCTGGTGTGCGAAACCGGGCACCCGAACCCTAACGACTTCAGCTATTTGGAAATTTGTATTCGGATCTGATCTAATTAAAAGTGTATATGTGTATTGTCCCCACTATATTCGATTTTTCTGCAATAATTATTAGAGTGTCTCCACCCTGTGGATTGTGGTTGAGGAAGACGATAATTGAATATTGTGCGCTGCTACATGATACAGTTATGTTATTGTGGTATTCTGCTTATAGGGGACTATTCACTGTAGGTAAGAGCTTTTATGCTTGTAATGCTCGTGGATAGTGTGATATGTTGAAATGGTCTGGAATGAATCCTTGGTCTTACTGCAGAGGTCAGGTCAAATCTAGCTGTGGCCTGTGGCATGTAATTTGCATAATTTGAACCAAGAGCAGTTATTTGAGTGGGAAGAGAAAACAAAAGCAGCTTGGAGTTGAAATTTTTCAGTACAATGCACTTGTTTAAGCCAATAAGTTTATTGATTTGATAAATGCATCTGGTGTGGTTCTGTGACAATGTACAGTGTTTACTGTTAATTTCTCCCGGGCGTGATTTCTACTGTACTTTAATGTATGGATTTGATGGTTATATTGCTTTGATATTTGTCTGCTTTAATTCGCTTGGTTAGTCAAGGGTCATCGATGAATTGGTGATCCACCTATGTCAATGCTGATGTGCAGGAAGTATGCTTATTTTTTACAGCTTGTTTTTGCTGTTGCTCATATTGCTGCACTTCTGTGCTTCTGAATCTCTCCCTCTCGCCAAGTTTTATAAATGGCATTTCCTTGGTTGTGATTTGTGAAGCTTGATTTAATCACACAAGATGCTTTCAGAATCTTATTTCATGCAGTTGTTTTCCAATTTGTCAGGTTCACCTGTAGTTAATTTTGTAAATTATTGTTATCTCTGTAGCTGCCCCAATGGAAGTTGAGCTGCCGAACGTCCATAAAGTGAGTAGCAATTTCTTCTTCTAAGTTGTACCCTTGTAGGGTGTGCTGATTATTAATTTCACCTTTTCAGCTCTGGTTATCCCTATATTGTACTCTCCATTCCAAATTATAGGTCGTTCTAGCTTTTCTTGATAGATAGCTTTTGCTATGTATCTAGACATAGCGTAAATCTAGATGCATAGCAAAAGCTATGTACTTAGAAAAGCCAAAACGACTTATATTTTGGAATGGAGGGAGTAGTATTTTAACAAATTAACATATTATGATATGTGTTAATGTGTAGGCTACTTCAAGTGACCATTGGAGTTTAGCCAGCAGCCAATATCCGTCTGGTAAATTTCCTAAGGTCTCAGTGGGTATCACGATTCCAAGGGTAGGTACTGTATCAAGAGGCGGAGATGCTACCCCAACACCTACATTGGACAGGAATTTGTCTCAGGGAACTGATGGTTTATCTAGACCAAAAGGTGATAATACTTCACCTCGGGTTTCACAAGAGGCTGTGAACCATGCTGTATCCACTGAAGGGGCTCCTGAAGCTGACCCTATTATGAAGGTCTCTGTATCACAACCTGATGACAATGCATGTGAGCAAACAGGAACCTTTTCCTTTGGAACAAGAAGAAAACAAGGCAGCAACAGCCTTGATAAATTGGGGACACCTGAATTTGTTAGTTCCCAAAGAAAACAGAACTTGGAGTCTGCAGATAAAGGCAAGCCCAATAGTGAGATGCTCAGGATGAAGTTGTGGGAGATCCTTGGTGGCACTTCACAAAACAAGCAGGCCGTTGCTTCACCAAACCCTGATGACATCGAGACACCTGATCAGCCTAGAAGTCAAACTGTCAAAGGACCATCTTCAGGGAACAAGGAGGTATTCACTTCACCTTTTCCTGATAACATCAAGACACCAGATCCACTGAAGCATCAAACGGTGAACTTCACAAAGTGTACACTGTCCCTTGATCCAATCGAGTCAGATTCTGATAGTCCAAAAGTTGTTGAAAGAAGACCTGTGACTCGCTCCTTGGGACGCAAGAAAGCACCAGCATCCTCCAAGAAGCAGAGCAGAAGTGCAAAGAAACCATTATCTACTTTTCGCTCTACACCCAAGAAGAAAATTCTGGACAATGTGTTTACCTTTAATGAGAAATGCACACCAAAAACAGTGGATCAGGGTGAAATGAATAAAGCCACTGAATCACCTGGCAGCGGATCTCCTGATTCTGCCAAAAAACGAGAAAACAGGAAACAACTGTATCTTTCACCCCTTTCTCCAACTGAGGATGAAGGGATTAAAAGTTCTGAAACAAGTTTTGCAAGAGGTCAGTACCACATTGCCATTCTGTCATACACTTCATACAGAAAAAAAACATTAGTTTGACGCACAGCTTTACATTCCCTTTCGTGTTTAGTGTTGCATATCTGAAAAAGGCAAGTTCAACATGCTGTGTACCGTGCTCTATTTGGCTATTCCCTTCATGCATGATGGACCATGTACATGTTTTTGGGGCTAAGTCTGTGCCTGTTAGTATTTCTGGGTTTATTGATCTATTGGATATATTTAAACTTTTCAAGTTACTTTACATTTTCAACTATTTGCATGTCCATTCAGAATTTGCAAACATATATTTCATGAACTATGATTTAGGCTGTCTCAGCATGTTGTCATTTCTTTATCACTTACTTGTTTGCCAATTCCAGTAAGATAAAATCATTTTTAATCATAGAATATATTCAAATTGAAGATATGATTTTATGTGATCAATAATGGAATAACAGGAACATTTTCCTATCCTGCATGGTAGTTTACGTATATTTGTTGGTATTATTTGCTATGTTGAGTAGTTGGCTTTTTATTTGGATTTGACTGCATTACTTTTAAGGACATTGGAAAGAACTTGACTGGTTTTCGCCGTATTCCACTGGTAAGTTTGTCGCATGTTTGGAACAAACTTGACTGGTATTCCACTGCCATGTTTGGAAAGAACTTTTAGTATCAGGCAGCTCAAGTTCTTCCCTAACGATGTTTTTGGCATGCTACTCATAACTAATATGTGGTTCTTCAAATGCAGGATATAAATCTCACAAATGGCCTTCAGATATCGATGGCCCTGATAAATCTCCTGTTGAGCATATGGGTAGGAAATCAAATCTAAAAGAGGACAGAATGAGCAAAAGACACTTATCTTCACCTGCTCCTTTTTCTACTTCTGGTAAAACTGCTTACTTTCCTTCATTGAGTATTTGAGTCCATGGTTAGCAGTTCTTAACCTTTTTTTTCCAGCAACACAAGAAACTACAGATTCTGATAAAGAACAAGAACAATGCCCAGAAAACTTCCTAACCAGGTTCTGTCTTATCCTTTGTTAATAAAATTATGTATATATCCTAGTTTGTTAGTATGTTTGATTACGTTCTTGATTTTTGCCAGGGATTTTGATCAAGCTTCCAAGCAGCCGAGCCGAAGTGCAAAGAAACCATTTTCTACTTTTCACTCTACACCCAAGAAGAAAATGCAGGGCAATGTGTTTACCTTCAATGAGAAACACACACCTAAAACAGTGGATCAGGACAAAATGGATAAAACCACTGAGTTGCCTGGTAGTGAGTCTCCTGGTTCTGCAGAAGAAAGAGAAAACAGTAAACAACCATCTCATTCACCCCTTTCTCCAACTGAAGATGAAGGGAGTAAAAGTTCCGAACAAAGTTTTGCAAAAGGTCAGAGTACCACATTGTCATTCTGTCATACACCTAATACAGGAAAGCATTTGGCTAGATCATGTTACATTCCCTTTTGTGTTTAGTGTTCCATATCGGTAGAAGGCAAATGCAACAATACTGTGTACCATGATCTATTCCCCTCTCCACGCATGATGAACCATGTGCATGTTTTGGCGCTAAGTGTGTCTCGTAGTATTTCTGGCTTATTAATCTGTTTGATATATTTCAAGTTTGTCTACATTTCCAACTATTGCATGCTTATGCAGAATTCCAAACATATATTTTCATGAACGTTCAATTAGGCTGTACCGTTATCTTTTCATTTCTTCATGACTTTCTTGTTTGCCAATTACAGCAAGCTAAAATAATTTTTAATCACAGAATATATTCAAATTGAAGATACAATTTTGTCTGATTAATGGGATAACAAAACATTTTTATATCCTGCATGGTAGATTACATATATTTAGTTGGTATTATTTTCTATGTTGAGTTTGCTTTTTATTTGGATTTGACTGCATAACTTTCAGAAGGATGCAGCTCAAGCTCTTACCTAAGGATGTTTATGGCATGCTACTCATAACTAACGTGGTTCTTCAAATGCAGTATATAAATCTCACAAATGGCTTTCAGATATCAAGGGCCCTGATAAATCTCCCCTTGAGCATGTGGGCAGGAAATCAAAACTAAAAGAGGATAGAATGAGCAAAACATACTTATCTTCACCTACTCCTTTTGCCACTTCTGGTAAAACTACTTACCTTCATTGATTGTTGACTCCATTGTTAGCAGTTCATAACTTTTTTTTTCAGGAACACAAGAAACTATAGTTTCTGACAAAGAACAAGAACAATGCCCAGAAAACTACCTAACCAGGTTCTGTCTCATGCTATGTTAATTAATTATTTGTCTTAGTCTGTTAGTTTGTTTGATTATGTTCTTCATTTTCATTAGGGCTTTTGATCAATTAGTAGTGGTTCTGGGAAGGTTCCAAACTAAGATCAAGTCTGAAACAAGCAAGAAAAGTTCTGAGATACTTGCAGCTACTAGAGAGATAATATATCAGCACCTTGAGGGGGTTGAGGCGCAGATGCAGGCTGATGTGTAAGATCTTGTCCCAGTGCTACCCTGAAACCAAACCCTCTTATCCTCATATACACATATATACAGGGTCCAATATAAATATACATATCACAAAAACTGTAGGTACAGTTGCTTGATACATGTCATTTTGACTGTTATTTTAGGGATAAACTGATCAACACAGGCAAGTCTAAAAGGAAACGCCTAGAATCTACATTTGAAGGTACCAATTTCATCATGTTAATGCTTCCAAGCTGGAACCGAATTTTATTTAAGAATTATCATGACGGGATCCCTTTGGCTGTACTCGATCATAGAGCAGTTAATCTCTGAAGATTTGCATTGTTATCCAATATTCACGATTTCTCATTCTCTATCTATTTGGATTATTCAACTCAAGCAGTGTAAAAGTTCTTTATTTCTTAATAAGAACTGTAGTTCTACATATGCCTTTTGGAATCTGCAGCAGCTATGTGAAGTACGTTTTGAATCCTAGCAGTGAGAATTATATCCTGTTATTTACAACTTATCATGTACTTAGTAGAACATAACAATAGGGTCATAACTAACCAAGCATAATAAACAATTGGTGCAAATAGAACCCAAAAGCCCAGCTTGAATGGTGTTACATTGGTAGATTTGGTTCTTATAAACTCATTCATCATTCTCCTGTGCTGAAGCATTTTGCCAATCCCATGAAAGATTATTTGAGAAATTCGTTAGTACCATGTCCAAATCTGTGCCCCCATTATCCAACATGGATGTTTTTTTTTAATCTTTGTTCTTTGTTATTTGGATCTTTGTGGACCTTGTTGTGTATCTAGGTACATATCTAAGTATGCAGCCGTGTTAAATTTCATATTTTCCTGCTTTTTTCTTTTCTTTTTGCTTTTTTCTTTCATGTTATTAGTTAACAAATTATATCTTTTGATTGATACACAGATCAACAAGAAAAGCTAAGGATTCTTCACGAGAAGTTCAAGGAGGAGGTCAACAAGCAGCTTCTGAATTGCAGGAGTTCTCTTGAGGATTTTGAATCCTACCATGCAGAACTTAAGGGAGTAGCTGACAAGCAAAGTAAGTCTTAACACTATGCCTAACCTCTGGAGCAATGTAAATGAAGCATCTGATGGATCATTTCTTATTTTTCTTACAATTTCCAAAAACTGTGAAACCATGTTAACTTTGTGAACATCAAGCCTTGTGAAGCAAATACCTGTGAAGCCTTGCTTATCCATACATTTCAATTGTATTGCTCCTAGCTGTTTCTCTATTTGGAAATATTTTAGCTACTCTGAATGAATGATTTTGCGTTCATACAGACATTGCTTTGGCATTTTTAACTATAGCTGTGTTCATTTGTATCACTGACCAATAAATGATCATTTTTTTTACCACTGACCATCGGAGTTACCATTTAATTTATTCTGTCTTTTTATTTTACATCGACAGAATCATCCCACAAGAAGCTCCTGGTAAATGCTGAGAAAACAGTAGGTGCTCAGATCAACGATGCAGAAACCAAAATTGCTGAGGTCCAGAAAGTAGGTCGAAAGCGGTTTTCAAAGCTCACATACGCCTTATTGACCAAATGCTCATCTCTTTCTGACACTCCTGCAGAGAGCCCGGAAGAGGATGAATGGCCTGAAATACGTGCTCAAGGAGCTGATTACAGAAACTGCAGATTGACTGATCGAAGTTCCTTCACTCTGTCCAAGTACATATCACTGGTGCAAAGATTAGGATACACAGGATGCACATTGCAAACACGTCTAGGTTTCCATTTGAAAGGGGTACAGGAGAATCATGATGCACATAGGTTTTGTTGGTAACTGAACTTCGCAAAGACAATTTTACTTCCAGACGTCCATAGTATCATTTTCTGGGCAGTACCTTCAGTTAGGATTTTCGCCACCTGGTCGATGTGCACAGTGCACTGCTGTGTTGGTTGCACTATTTCGCATGATTGACTAAATACTATACAGAAAACCGCAACACTCGACGTCTTTCAGCGGTATGTGACCTATAGGATGCTGCAGTGTGCACTGTTGCCCTTCGTTCTTTCCAAACTCTGTTGCGAGCTGGAATACTAATGTGTAATGCAGAGTTGTCTTGATGTTAAACGTGATTCGATGCTGGCTTGATGCTGTGCATTGGAATCAAATGGGGTCGTTTGGTGGTGCATTGATTGACGTGTTTGTTTATGCATGGATTTGCAATGCCGTTGTTCCATCTTTTCTCTCGCTTTTTCATGCATCTGTGGCCTTGTGAGTTTCTTCCCACCCGACTTGTGATGTATGAATGTATCAAATGGTTCAAACGGTGCAGTGGATTTCATAAGCGATCACAGGCAGTTCTGTTAGATCACACAGAGGACACAGTAAAGGGGGATCTTAGTGTAGTCACATGAACACATCACACTTTGATTGGATCACACACAGACCTTGTTCTTAGGAGAGTCCGTCAGCCATCTGTGAGTCAGAAATGCGAGGTCGGTGTACTGATACGGCGGACGGTAGCGGATCTGGCGCGTGGGAGCGGATTGTCCCATTTGAATCGGCCGAGAGATAAACGGCACCGGGCCCATTCCTTTTCTCACGGCCAGAGTCCACCTTTGAAGGAAGGAAGATATAGAACACTGCACCACGGCCCATGGGCTTTTTATGCACACAAGTACATCTTTCTGTTTTTTTAATAGGGCACACGACAACATCTTTCCTTTCTGGAACACTTGGATTTGGATGTACAGCCTTGTGTTTTCTTAATATAACATATAATATATTATAATATAAGCATGTCTCCCCGGGTTCTAGTGCTACGATTCCCTGGGTGCATCATGCCTGCCCCTAATTAGCGTACAAGGTACATCGACTGGTCCAGGTTTTTGGAACATTTGTAGATTCTGCAGAGAAACTTTGGCGCTGCAAACACGGAGAGAAGGTTGTGGGTGCATGTACTTCATTCCAACATGAAATTCTCCTGGAAAGAATATAATCTCGCGCGAGTTGACGAGCCACACAGGCATCTATTCCATGCTGTCGGTCTGCTCTACTGACTACTGGACTCGACTGGCATGAGCATGAATTAATTCCTAACGGTTCAGGTGCCCTTTCCACTAATAAAACAGAACATATGACACCCAGCATAACAGTGGTGGCCGAACATCTGGTTCCCTCACCTAAGGGACCATCTGGAACAAGCACAAATTATCTTTTAATCTTTTTGTGAGATTTTGTTTGCGGGAAGTGAGTCAGGAGTTCTGCCTAATTAATTAAGGACTAGGGGAAAACACCACTACCGCAGACCGCAGTTAGCTGCCTGGGCGGGCTGTGCGCGCGCGAGAAAAAGGGACTAGGGCGTTTTTGGCTCTAGCCGCACTTCGCCACAACTAACTGTGGCATGCCGAAACTACATTTGGTTGCTACCGCGCGTTGGGCGTGCTGAAACTGCAGCGCCGTTCCATGTCTAGTTGTGCGCCAACTCCCGCCAAAAGTCCAGCGCTCATTTCCTACGACAAACATTGGCGTGCTGCGGCTACCAACCAAACACGCCCTATCCTTTCTTGTACTTGCATTGAGCCTCAACATGAACAAAACTGAAATATATCCAACACAATGCCATGGGGATTTAGTTCAGAGTTTAGTACAGAGCTTTCCAAGAAAGCCCACATGTTTCCCTGGAGGACTGCCTTTGCACACAATTTTTTTTATGGAAAATAGAATCCTAACCTTATCGATAAAGCTGGGGCAGGTTGCCTGGTTGGAAAGAGGAGACTCCTTTCTAAGGCTGGAAGAAGAATGCTACCATGACAGTCAATTTATCATCTGATTGTTTTTGTCACAGAAAATGGCTCATCAGAAAGAAAAAAAAAATGATCCAGGTGCTTTTTTTTGGAAGGGAGACGATCTTGAGCCTTGAGGACGTGAGCAGGGGACACTGCATCTTATTATCAGGTGGCCAATCACATGCAGGACGAGGGAGGTGGCTCTGGTTCAAGGGTCCGTTTGTTTGAGTCCTAGTTTTAGCCAGGACTTTTAACTTAAAAAGCTAGTTTATTGGTGTTTCAATAAATTTTTAGCTTCTCAGTATAGCAAAAGGTAAAAAAAAACCACTTAAAACGTGCTTTTTTATATTTTCTCGTAAGTTACCTTTCTAGTTTCTTTTTGTATATAAATTAACTCAGGGCCCTGTTCGCTTGAGATTATCAGCCAGAATCAGTCCTACTTTTCAGCCATGGGAACAATGTTTTTTCTCTCACAACTAAATCAGCCCTACAAATTAGCCACAACAACAATAAATCCTGCCGAACGGAGCCTAAACTGTTTAGTTGAGCTTTTAGCTACCTTTTGGGCGGTAGAAGCTAGACGCTTGAACAAGCAGCGAGAGGGCTTGGACTCTTGGAGCCTTGGACGCCAAAAGCCGACAGAGATCTGTTCCTTGCTTCGACAGAAACTCTTCTGCCGGCTTTCGTAAAAAAAAAAAGACCCCCAACATTTTTTGCGAGAGAAGATCATGTACGTACATACAGTACGCAGCGGTACGTACGCGAGCTGTAGACTGTAGTCTTCTTTCCCGCCCTAAATTAAGTCGTCGGTTGCAGAAGGCGTTAGCTGGTGCTGGTCTGCTGGATCCGTTACCGCGCGCGCGCTGCGGCGGGCGAACCCAACTGATCGATGCGGACAAAGCTGCACCTGACGGCTCGGCCAGGACGCCATAACGAAGCTGTCGCAGGACAGTCAGAGCACAGCTTCTTCAGCTTCAGCCTGTGGTACTCTACGTCCATCATGATTCATGACGATACTCTACTCCTCGTCCTCGACCATCATGGACCTTCTCCATGGATGATGGTTACCCCTGTCCATCTCCATCTGCAAGCTGTCCAGCTCTATCCGTGGGCCGTGGCGACGAGCGAGCCAAACGGTCTGCCTGTTTCTGTTTGCGTGGCCACTGGCCACTGTCTCTCTTTGGGAACTTCGATGGATCCACGCTGCAACTGAACAGTTTCCCCTCAAGTTTACCCATGTCGTTTCCTGCTCTTTCCGTTGCATGCGTTTCTCGGTTCAATTCTTTGCTCCAACTCTTTGATCGAATCACAGCTCCACTTCCAGCCTCATTTCTTTACATTTCAGACCAACCGTTGTTCAAAAAAAAAAAAATTCTACTGTACATCAAAATAGATAAAATAAAAGTAGACGCAGTCACACAAAAAAACAAAAACAAAAAGGAGAAACAGAACAAGAAGCAAGGAAAAAAAAACGAGCTCTCATCTCTCGCCGATTACAGAACTACCACTAACAGTAACGCCACTCTGCTGACTCAGCGCGCCGTCGTCGTCGGCCGCGCGAGCCGGCCAAGATCTCGCCCCGCACTCCACGCACCTCCCTTCTTCGCCGTCCTCAGAGCCGGAGCCGCCGCCGCCACCGCAGCCCACGCTGACGACGACACCACGGGCGTCGTCCGGGGCGCCCCGGCCCGACGCCGGCGTGGCGAGGAACGTGGGCCTCTCGTCGCCGGCCATGATGACCACCACGTGCTCCCGCCAACGCTCCCCGGCGGCCGCCGCGGCCTTCCCGTCGCCGGGCCGGCGTTCCAGGTCGTCGTCTGGCTCCCCCGCGGAGGCCAGGAGGCTGCCGGACAGCGTCCAGTAGGAGCAGGCCAGCGCCAGGAGCGACAGCGCGATGAGCCCCAGCATGGCCGCCAGCCCGCCGAAGAGGTATGGCATCGGCGACTGCCACGCCGACGCCGAGTGCGTCGTCGCCGTCGTGCTCGGCCTCGGCGACGGCGCCGCGGGCCCGTGGCCCATGCCCATCGGGTGCTCCGCGCCTGCAGGCCACATGTGGTTTTGTTTGTTAATCTTTGGGGCAGTGCATGCCACTGCCAGTGAACACCACCAGCCTCAGGAGCAGTGTCTCTGTTGCCGCCTGCCTGCCTCGCTTGCGTTTCTCTTGTCTGGAACTGGAACAGAGCAGGGAGGAGGGAGACGGCCAGTGTTCGTCAGGTTGGTGATGAATGAAAATGATTTGCGGTATGAGGCAGTGCTTGTACTTTGCTCAGGCCCTATTTATAGAGTACAGAGCTTCATTAAGGTACTAGTAATTGCATGCCAAGTTGATCACAAATCAAGCAAAAAAGGATTTAATTTAGTTTAGTGTTGTCATATATCTATATATTATATTAATATATACTTTTGGTACATAACAAGTAGAATTTAGCACGATATTATAATTGTAAAGAAGAAAAAAATAATTCCTTCTTCAAAGAGCACCTTGGTTTGCTTCACTGGCTTGCCAACCTGAAAACCTGATATTGTTTTCAATTGCTGCCCGGTGATGGTCAGTTACAAAAAGCAATCACTATTTAGCTTTGCTACGTACTAAGTATAGCATATCTGTGGGCATTTTTACTCGTTTATTTGTGACAAAATCTCACAAATTAAAGCCACGCTCTTATCCATGAGCAGCTAATCGCGCGCGCTCTCTGCCATGAGTGGATCGAGCATTATATGGCTTTTTGGATACAATTTGCACACCGTGGCTTACAATTTGCCCATTTTGTAAGTCAAAAGAACTCTACAAGTGGATCCAATAGAATACAACTTTTTTTTAGCTTACCTATGTCTCACAAACACACTTGTAATATTTGTTGTTTGAAGATTTGCTCAATTTTGCTTTAGGAGATCATAAAATTAACACCGAGTAATTAAACCGTGCTATTATTTGGTTACGGGTCTTTTTATCAGTACTTTCTTCTTCTGAACAAGTTGTTTTCATGATAATGTGTATATTCAGTTCTAGCGCACAGCCAAAGTATCTCACTTTATTCTTTCTGCTACGGTGGAATATACACATGTAGTGCTCATATCCTTTCCTAGAAAGTATACATATCTCTTCTAGCGTAAACAATTTCTCTTCAATTACATGTAATGCTAGCTGATATTTCTTTTGAACTATTTGTGTTCATGAAAATGCGTCGATTTTTCTGAAAGAAATTAAAAAGGGTCCTTCTCCATATAAAAGATACGATTACTAAGTTCTTTTTAGTCGATTAGATGGCTCCGCCCATTCCAGGACAAGCAAAGCACACCTCACCACAATAATTGAGCACTAGGGTGAAATTCACTTTTGAAGTGGTAGAGTTTAAATTCATTCGTAAACGTCCATACCACTGAAAAGATGAAGAGTAGGGTGGAATTCGTATGGTTTTCTTTAGAGTTTTAGGGCCGTTTGGTTAGCTTCCAATCTGAGAAGATTTGAGGAGATAAAATGCTCCTCAATCCTCTTTAATCCCCTTAGAATCGAACAAGCCCCTATCCATTTGCACTGTGTCAAGACATATGAAATCTTCAAACCCCCTACAAGTTTTATCTCAATATAAAAGACATCCACATCTTATAAACTATCCACATCATCTCGTAATAAACCATGTCAGCTAACTAACTTGTAACCTATTAATGCAAGCCATCCATATCATCCCGACTAAGTGCAATTACTGTTTTTAATATGTAAGAAACATACAAGGCATGTGTATTATTTTGCCATTCCATTAGTTTATAATTCGATCTATTTTTTAGTTTTTTATTAAATTATTTCATTGACATGTCTAACTTTGATAGGATCGATGCAAGAATATGTAGGTCTAACACATACATGTAACGATTTGATTTAAAAAAATCTCACAGCAACACGCAAGGAATATTTCTAGTATTCCGTCGACTAAAAAAAATACTGAATTAACAAAAGTTCCATAATCTGACCGGTACAAATATTTTATCAATTATCTCGGAAGAGACAAAATAAGTGCTTTAATAATTGCGTGGCTTGCTCTGTTGAACGTCTCCCTAGGCCAGTCCTTTCTGCTAAAGGCGGCGATGCAGCTCTCATTTTTTGAGAGAAAGGTGCTTGGCCTTTCTTTTCACGAACGTTTTCGAGCTTTTGGATACCGTGACACTTGGGACACCTATCCTACAATGCACAAAGCACAATCAGAGCGACTCATGCAAGTAGAAGTGTGTTTGTCCTGGGTACTGTTGATGATGACAACATGAAAATCATATGCATGCATACAAAATTAAAGGGTTCCCACTCCCATATCATTTTCAAATTAGCGACATAAATAAATAATAGACACATTTCTTGCGACAGCGAAGTAAACAAAACATTATATATGAGGGAAGAAAATTCCCAGATTAATGGGTCTTTTTAACAAAACATTATACATGAGGGGCTTTTATTCTTGTTGTACTAATCCTTAACATGGTACATTCACTCATAGATAAAGTTAGAACAAGAACGATCGTATTGCACGTGTAAATTCTTTTTAAAAAGATAAATGCACGATTTTTTCCTTCCTCAAAAAGAAAAAAAAATTGCATTGTGAGGAAGGAGTTGAAAGGTGAAGAGGAATCTATCTGCATACCCAATCCAGCCAGCTTTTGCTTTGCTACCTTTCTCCGGGCGGACACGGCTGAATTGGCGACAACCCTTGCCTTTGGGTGGGCAATCGCAATCAGTCCCTGTTGCTCATGCCCATGCATATCCTTTCTTCCTGACCGTGCTAGGAGCAGATGAGACGCAATTAATTGCATGCAGGATTAGCTCGATCGGTCCCCTTTGATTACCTGGTTGCGTTGAGCAAGTATAATAACATGCTGTAAGTAGGCTTAATGATGAGATGAGAAGAGAAGATGTAACCTTACGGCCGGTGTCGGTGTTTTCGGACCACCGACGAGTAAATTTGTATTTGCGCGTCTGGCTCGGATGGTGTGCTCGGGGACAAAAGGGTTTATACTGGTTCGGGCGGAACATCCCTACGTCCAATTTGCTTCTGCTCGTGTTACCGGCACTTGGTTTGCAGTAGGGGTTACAAATAGGCGAGAGAGGGAGAGGATCCCAAGTCTCTGGTGGAGGGAGTGAACGGATGCTGAGAGCTCAATTGCCGCTCAGCTGTGTGCTCGTGTCGTGCTCTTGTGTTTTTTTTATCTCCTGTCCGGATCCCTCGATAGGGGCGCCCTTCTTTCCTTTTTATAGGCGAAGGGAAAGCGCGGGTTACAGAGGAGGAAAATAAGAATAACGAGAGAGAAGAAGTCTTCTAGAATCGCCAGGTCCTTCTTCTCCTTTATGCGGGTCTCGCCGATCCTGTAGATGTCATCAGGGATGGCTCCATGTCGCGGCCCTGTTCATCACTGGCGCCATACGCAGGCGTCATCTGCTGGTCATGGCGTTCCACTCCGTTCCGACGGACGTCGCGGTGAACTGACGCGCCTATCAGCGTCCGTACGAGGATTAGACAAAACAGTACCGGCACGCCCGACACTGCTCTTGATGTGAATCGTCAGGTATGGCCCGTCATGGCCATGTGTTACATCGAGGCGTGCCAGCTTCTTCTCTGGTGTCAGAGTTTTGACTCAAGCCCATACGCTTGGACCTGGAGTGGTTGACGACGGTATGGGTCCCTGTCGGACGAGACGGAACCCGCGTCCTTGAGGTCGGGCAAGACGGAACTCGTGGCCTTAGGGTCGGGTGAGACGGAGCATGAGCCCGAGGGTCAGGCGAGACGGAGCTTGCACCCAAGGGGTCGGGCGAGACGGAGCCCGCACCCGAGGGGTCGGGCGAGACGGAGCCCGCACCCAAGGGGTCGGGCGAGACCTTTTAATACGCCTCGAGCCATCCGGGGAAGTCAGCGTGGGCGCTAACTTCCTTGCTTTGGGTATCCCTAATAACGATACCCGATAGTAGCCCCCGAGCCTGCGGAGGAGTAGAATACTCCTTTGAAGGCTTTTTTTGGACAGGAGGACTTTGAGGGCCTTGGCCTTCTTTTTTGTAACCCGTGACGTGTCCTGGTAGGACGACAATTCCCTTTTGCCGTGATCGGTTTTCTTGGGGGGCATCCCTTTTCACCCCTCGCTGTAAGGGTTCCCAGGAGCGGCTGTGAACCCATCGGTGGGCCAGCCTTCGAACTCCTGGGCCTGCGTAGGAGCATTTTTAACTCTGTATCCCTCCTTACCTGCGACGGTTCTTGGCCCATCGACCGGGCGAACCGTCATCCGGCGTGTCCTTTGAGGGCACGGCCAGAGATAGCGTGTACACGATCTTCGGAGGGAGGTGACGTGATGCGGCGCAACGGGTGCGTAAATCTAGGTGGACGGTTTGCCTTCTCGCCCCGCTCCATCCTATAAATAGCGGCCTCTCCCTTCATGTTTCTACACACCAAAACCATAGCCTTACCTTCTCCGTTTCTCCTCCGCCACCATTTGGATCTGCCGTGCTTGCTAATCTATCATCGGAGCCCTAGGTCTGTAGCTTCCGCTTCTCCGCCGCCACCTTTGTTTCTCTGCGCCGCCTCCATCCTCCATGGATTTGTGGTACCACTCTAATGTTACCCATGCATGCTTGGAAGGACTCGTCAAGCGTGGTCTTCTCCGTGGGAGGACCGATGCAGTGGAGTGGCTCATGCCCGGCCGTGAGGATGCGCCAGCGTCGCCTGATGGCTACGTCGTCTCATTTGCGCCCTTCCACCAGCGCGGACTCATGGTTCCTCCCCACCCGTTCTTCCGAGGTCTGCTGCACCACTATTAGATTGAGCTGCAACACTTGAATCCCAATGGGATCCAGCACATCGCGACCTTCATCGCGATGTGCGAGGGGTACCTAGGGATCGAGCCCCACTTTGAGTTGTGGAGATATTTCTTCTTCATCTCCTTGATCAAGAAGAAGGAGAGAGGGT